TTTTTTTTTTTTTTTTTTTTTTTTTTTTTTTTTTTTTTTTTTTTTTTTTTTTTTTTTTTTGAAGGAATGTGGAGATAGATTGATGGCCCTCTTGAACTAATCATTGGGAGACGAGTTGTTTGTCATATTTCTTTGTGAATTTTGTGAATAGAAAAGGGATTCCTAGTACACTTTTGATATCAACAAAGCTAACTTGTATTAATTATTTAAGCTATTTTATGTGGTTGAAGGTCGATCGGCACCCCCAATTTCGGCACTCCAGATGCCTCTTTGTCATAAGGACCGATGGTGGATGGATTGATTTCTCGTATCAAAAGTGTCTTCGGGCATATATCCGAAATAAATACCCATTATATGCAGACCGGTTTATTCGGGAACATTTCAAACGTGGTAGTTGATGAATTTATGCTAGCCTTGATGTTAGCCTGTGGATATTTGTTCTGGTTAAGAGTTACATATGAATGATTAAATGTATTCTTGATGAGTCAGTGGCCTACGTGAAGGCAAGATGTACAGATTGTCAATGCAGTAGCTATCATATCTTGGAAGTTCTGCACAATTTTGAAAATGAGAACAATCGAGAATCATAGGAGTGAACCTTCTCTTTGTTGACTTGCAGCTGCTCTGTTTAGTTTGTGGTTAAGATTACTGTATAATCAGATCACCAGGACATGTAGAACGAGATTATTGATAATGTTTGAAAGTCGTATAGGATTGAAAAGTTTGAACTGGGTTTGATTGATAATCTATTCTCTACACTTCTTTCCACGTGCTAGATCCATATCTTGCGCATGTTATAAGGTTCATGATTATAACATGAACAAGATTGAAGAATTGAATGATTTCAGCTGTCCTGGCAGGAACTGTGATGGGTAAAAGAGATACATTTGTAAACATTTGGCGGATGATGTTGGCGGTGGGAAGTTGAAGGCATAAAGCGGTCTCGTGGGGTTAGCCAATGAAGAAAGTTCAAATGAAAAGGGGTTGAAGAGTATGATTTAGTGTTATGGTGTCATGTTATGTTAGTGATTGGGTTTGGATCTGAGGAAAGCAGGGTAGGTCCTTGTCACAGGTCAAGTCAAAAGAGTCGAGCGGCCTAATGGATTCACTGAGCTCTTCAAAGGCTAAAACGCTCGTAAAGCCAGTGCTGCAGTGGTGTGGATAGCAATCTATCTCTCTCCAGCATGTACTGCACTCTATGATCAAAACTGTATCTTTCCTGGAAAGATCACTATATGGTAGCCAGTCATATCATGGGAGCTAGTCATACTTGAATTGGTTACCTTAATTCCAAAGAGGGGATGCCAAAGGCAGGACTAGTAACTAAAGTGAAGTCATAACAAGTTAGACGTACTGAAAAGTGCGGTTGGATCACCTCCTTTTAAAAAAAAAAAGCTAATGGTTGTTGGATATTTTGGTGTGACATTACTCCACTCTAAAAAAGAAGCGAGGTACATCTAAGCAAGGCTTCTTTAGTTTCTCAACGGTGAAGTAAGACTAAGCTCATGGGCTTATTATCCTAGATCGAAACAAGTTGATAGGATCCCCTTGTTACGTTTCCATGTTCCCATGTCCCCTTTTTTTAGAATCACAAATGTCGTGCATGTGCAACACGCATGGTTGAAAAAAAAATCAAAATTTAATCGTCTTGTATTAGGCAATCCACCATGGATTAGGCAGTGCAAACATGATTATTAGTGGTGTACTATTCAGAATTTGACCCGACCCCACACAAAGCCAACTGGAAAGAAGCAGTATCCACGTGGGATCCTCAATAGTTGCAGCACCGCCATCAGTGTCATCGTGGTCGTATGATTTGAAGCACAGCTTAGCGTTAGAGAAGGCTCGTGATTTTTAATGAAAACCCATGTTTTACTCTTTGCCAAAACACCAACCCTGTCCCTCGCAAATGTCTCCAATTATTTAGACAGGTCCAATCAGATTAACAGTACGGCACTTCAAATTTCAGCCCAGATCTAAAATTACCACACTTTTTCTTCATCAACCCTTTTCGAGATACCTAATCTTTATAGCCTTAACTACTCCGATGAAACCCAGTTTGTCTCTCTTACTCTTTTTGTGTTGGGGGATGTGAACCATGAATGATGGACAGTGTGCCATTGAGAGTGATACGAAACATTCCTTAGCAGAAGCGTTTTAAAACTTTGGAGAGAAGCTCGGAAGAAAAAGTCCAAAAAAGACAATATCTATCGATATCAACAGTAGGCTTGAACGGTCACATAGCAAAATTCCCTTTTGGGGTTTCTGAATTGGGTGTCTGACTTCTGATTCTTAACAAAGGCGATTAGCTTTTAGAATCAAGTTTGATTAATGGTATGGACAGTGGAGCCCGAGTTGTATGCTATAAATTCTGCAAAGAGAAGCCTGTCGGGTTTTTAAAGCAGTCCATTCAAAATTTAACCATTTTTGTACTCTCAAGCACAAAAGAGGGGAAAAAACGAAGGACCCGTGATCTTAACTCCTTTTCTACGTTGATAAATCAACCCTCCCTCGGAAACTTATGTGCCTAATGAAACCTTTTTTCCTCTGATGAACATTAATTCAGCGTTGAATAAGGATTGATGATATGCAACGCAGTGGTTGTGGACCGGCTTGGCTTGGCCCACAAGGACATTGTATAGGAGTGTCACATGTCGATTGATTATGCTGCATGGCCCATGATTTATGTCTGCTGATTATAAGCACCAGAGGCTCCCAAATCAGAAGCATAAACCTCACCCCAACAAAACATGCGAAGAAATGAGGCACTATACGATGGCGAGACGGCATTGTTACCCAATATCCATTCTACATTCATCAAGTTCAGGTCACCAAGACGCTTCATTTCTTCTTGATTCCCTGTTTTGCTTGGAGGAAGAGATTGGGGATGGCCTTATCCAACCAAAGGACCAAACTTTCTTAATGAATGTTTGTGTCAATTCCCCAAATTCTGTCTTCTTGTCGGAGAGGGAAGACGAGGAATTGGTGTCTCTGTTCTCTAAGGAGAACAAAAATGAGTTTCTTCGTAACACTCTCTCACACAATCCCTCTTTAGCAGCCGCTCGCTCCAAGGCTGTGGCCTGGATTCTGAAGGTCAATGCCCATTACTCTTTCACTGCACTCACCGCCGTTTTGGCCGTTGATTATGTCGATAGGTTTCTCTCCAGCCCCCATTTTCAGATTGACAAGCCATGGATGGCCCATCTCACCGCCATTGCTTGTTTATCTCTCGCTGCTAAAGTGGAGGAAACCCGCGTGCCCCTTCTTTTAGACCTCCAGGTAAACCCCACATCAAAATCTCCACATTTATCACGATTCTTCCAACTAAAACAGGGGATTGTTTAATGTTTTGTTCAAGGTGGAAGAAAATGAGTACTACTTTGAAGCTAAAACTATTAGAAAAATGGAGATTCTCGTTCTTTCTACGCTTGTTTGGAGAATGAATCCAGTGAACCCACATTCCTTTCTGGATTATATCGTAAGACGGCTCGGGTTCAGGGACAAGCTCTGTTCTGAATTCCTCTGTAGATGTGAACGATTACTTCTCTCTGTCATCTTAGGTGAGCTGTCTAGCCAAACCAAAATTGACTTCTATCTTGAATTCCCAGACCAAAATCATAAATGCTCTTTCATTTTGAATTCCCAGATTCTAGATTTGTATGTTTTCTTCCATCAGTCATAGCAAGCGCCATTATTTTTCAAGTTATCAACGACATAGAACCAAATGCCGCCGCCAAATGCCACGATCAGCTTCTGGGTATTCTTCAAATCGACAAGGTTTCCTCTTTTATCGTTTCTTTTTCATTCTTATTATCCTTCGAGAAATGGATTGACCAAAACTTATAGTGTACTTTTTGTCTTGCTCTGTTTGTTCGAGTAGGATAAGGTGGAGGACTGTTCGAGATTCATCTTAGAAGCATCATCGAAAGAACGACACAGAAAGGACTGTAAGAATAAACGAAGATTCAGTTTAATGGATGGTCAGAATCGGAATGTCGACTGTGCTGTGTCCTCGCCGAAGACATCAACCAAGAAGAGAAAAAATTGATGAACAGCGTCCTTGGAGGCTCAAATTTACGACAACCGCAGAATTTTCTTTACATTGTTTCATCCTTCGCTTCATTTAATTAAGGCTTCTTATAGCTACTTGTACTTTTTTGTTTCTCTAGTACAACAAAAGCGTACGCTTAATAATTAATATATAATTTCTTCTAGTATCAGTTCAAATTGTCGCATTAATTTTCATTTTCTTTCCCGTTATATCAAAGAAAATGCGATGTTTGAGGCTTCAAAGTTGGAATTCATCAAGTAGATATTGTTTGTCCAGTCTCACGATTTTAAAACACTAATCAATTTTTTATTAGGAAGAAGTTTACACTAACGCCCAACAAATTAGTAGACCTTCACCCTGACTCAGCCTCATTATTTGTCATTATATGCTTTGTAATTAACAAGTACAACACTAATCAAGTGCAATTATGATATGATTTAGATTAGTGAGTAGTGAAAGAAAGAAAGGATGCACATAATTGAATTCTTGGCAGAGTATGTATTGGATGAAGAAAACGGTATGATTATGAGAAGAAAACAGCTGACATTCACTCCTGCGCTGCTCTGAACGCAGCAGATGACTCTACAAAAGCAAAAGGTAAGTTGTTGCTGAATTCTGAAATGGTTGGCGGCACGCATAACACAAATATGAAAAAAAAGCCACTCCCTTTTTCGTAAAACAAACCCCTCTTTACTCTCTGCTATCATCTCATAAAGAATGGATATTGAAGCTTCTTTGGCTGCCATCTCCCTGACAATCATATGGCGTAGGCCCCGCCCCAGACCCACATCCCTCGCGTGAGTCTCATAATTCTACAACCCAGCTCAACCCTCAGGTCTTTTACTCACACCACAACCAGAAGAAGACGACAGCGCTAGGGCCTCATTTGGCACCCCGCTCTGTTTTCACTGCTTCTGCTTCCCAGTCCCCCGGTAAAAAGTGGGTTTGTCGTATTTTGTTGACTCACGGGTTTTTCTTCTTCAATATTCGCTCCCTGACATTCACATTGCCAAGTGCAAGAAACCAAAGGAGGATAGGGGGTTTGGGCAATCGATGCGCGCCTGCTGGATCGCGATGGTGCTGCTCTGTTTGGACTGCGCTGTTGGTTTGGGCTCAGATTAAAGCTCAACCGATGGCCCTAACAACGGAGTAATGAGCCGAGATGCGTGAAATAGGCGGACACCCACTTGCAATTTTCAAGACCCTTTTACAACAATGTTGTGTTCATATTATCTGTAATGAAAAATAATGAATTTCAAAGCAAGTAGCCAATTTGCATACTTTTCTGTCGTGGCGCTTTGCTTTGTCACAAATGGATGACAGCCAAAAACGCCGTGGCGGTAACCATCTTGCAACTTGCCTTCGCTTTCTACAATAAAACAAATTAAGATCAAATTTTTAAAATTTAGTGACTAATAAAATTAACCAACATTATACAAACTATTGCTACCTTATTTCTTGTGATGCATTAAATTATTCAATTATTGAATATTCAAATAACTTATATTAAATACCAACCTAAATCTAAACGTGGAAAAGTCTCAATTATATCTTTATCTCCTAATCCTTCCATCTCATCTTCAAGTCTCTTGTCTTATCGTTGAGGTTTTAGATTCATATTATTTACAAATTTATTGGCTACTTTTTTTATTTAAATTATTTGGTGACAAGTGTTGTTCACGCATGTATTTAATAGATATTAGAGATGTCTAGATTTAGCGAGCATTAAAAAAAAATATAAAAATAATAAAGAAATAACATTAAAATAAAAGGGATGACCATCCACGTTTGGATGCGCCGCTATATTAAAACGTTTCAAACTTTGAGGAATAAGATTTATATTTTAATTAATTTATAATAATAAAAAAAAAAGGGTTGTTTTATTTGATTTGAACTGAGTCATCTCTTATTCAGCAATCAAAATCAAATGCATTGAAAAAGTGTTGTTATCATGTGATGTCACGTCACCCAAAGCCCCTTCATATTTCGAATCTTCCCGTATCCCTGGAAGGCGTGGGACCCACTCCATTTTGCCTCCTCTTTTTTATTCTTCATTACAAATTCCAATTTTGGTTTTAAAAAAATATTTAATTTAGAAGAAAATATTTTAACCTTGAAACTACAATATTTAGGCTAATTAAACTATATTTATGTCTATATTCTAAAGTATTTAAAACAAAAAAATCTAATAATTATGGCACCTATTAATGCATTGAATCCTCTCAAATAAAACATTTACCTATACCATTTATACCCATTATCCAAAAAAAATAGAAAATTACTTTTTCAAATCATCCCTACCATATGAAACCCATCTCGAAAAATAAAGAAACATTCTTAATTCTTTGAAAACATTTTAAAATTATGAGACTGATAGGAATATGTAACAAATCAAAACAGACAAAATATCGAACTTGGACTTTTTTTTATAATTTAATAATATTAGTTAATTATAAAGACTATATCGAAATTAAATTAATTAAATGGCCATTTTCTTTGGGTGGAAAGAAAAAAAAGAAAGAAAATTATATAAAGCAAAAAAAATTTTAAAAAAAATTAAGAATTGGTAAACGAAGGTGAAATAAAATAAAAATATAATTTGGGAAAGTGAATCGTGACCCGGAATTGGTGGGAGCATTCGAATTTGTAGGATCCAACAGCACACCACTCGGAATCCAAAATTTATTTAAATTTGTTTTAAGTAGGAAAGATTTAGAACTGCTTGTGAGTTATTTGGGATCCGAAAAAGGCTATTTAAGGCGCTTCCTCGTTCGTTTCCAATTGGCATTAGAAAACAGAGTGAAGAAGAAGGCAGAGACAGAGCGATGGGGGGTTGGGCCATAGCGGTTCACGGCGGGGCTGGCGTGGATCCTAATCTCCCACTGCAACGTCAAGAAGATGCAAAAATGCTTCTGACTCGCTGCCTTGATCTTGGCATTCACGCTCTTCGGTCAAATTGTTCTGCTATTGATGTCGTTGAACTCGTCGTACGCTCTCTCCGATCCCTTTTCGGTTTCTTTTCTTTCTCTAATAGATTATTTCCATGCGTCATTTCATTCTCTGCGACATATTCTTGAATTATATTGCGATTTTGAAGGTTAGAGAACTTGAAACCGATCCCCTGTTCAACTCAGGGCGTGGATCTGCCCTGACAGAGGAGGGAACCGTTGAAATGGAAGCCAGCATCATGGACGGACCAAAACGGCGATGCGGGGCGGTGTCTGGACTTACCACTGTCAAAAACCCGATCTCCCTCGCCCGTCTTGTCATGGACAAATCCCCTCATTCCTATCTGGCTTTTTCTGGCGCTGAAAAATTCGCTAGAGAACAGGTTTGATTTCCATCTTTATTCTCCCTTTTTTCCGGTTCTAAAGCGGAATATGATTTCCATCTTTATCTGGCTTTTTCGGACGGAATTGAATCTGTGCTAGGGTGTTGAACTTGAGTGCAATGACTATTTCGTCACCGAAGAAAACGTCGGAATGCTTGAACTAGCCAGAGAAGCCAACAGTATATGGGTACCCCTCCGATTCAAGTATTTTTAACTAAATATGATTCAAAATAACCGTTCGAAACGGACTTGACATTTTCTGGTTCGATTTGTAACAGTTAGATTACAGGGTCCCAAACGAGAAGTGTAGCGCGAGCGTGGAGACGCCGTTGCAAATGAACGGCCTCCCAATTAGCGTGTACGCGCCAGAGACTGTGGGCTGCGTGGTGGTCGACAGTGAAGGAAGGTGCGCCGCCGCCACGTCCACCGGCGGCCTGATGAACAAAAAGATCGGGCGCATCGGAGACTCTCCGCTGATCGGTTCAGGGACGTACGCGTGCGGGGTGTGTGGGGTATCGTGCACTGGAGAAGGGGAGGCGATCATAAGAGGGACATTGGCAAGAGAAGTAGCGGCGGTGATGGAGTACAAAGGTCTGGGGCTTCAAGAGGCAGTGAATTACGTGATAGAGGAGAGGCTGGACGAAGGAAAGGCCGGATTGATTGCCGTGTCGAGCAATGGTGAAGTGGTTTGTGGGTTCAACACCACCGGAATGTTCAGGGGATGTGCGACGGAGGATGGGTTTATGGAGGTTGGGATTTGGAAATAAATTGGGATATGATTGGTTAGATAATTTAAGATTGGGATGTGAAGTTTTGTGGGTTTTAATGCTTTGTAGTGTGCTTTGTTTTTTCAGTAACTGTGTGAAATCTTCTTCAGAATTTTCTGGATTTAGATTCAGAGGCAGATCCATCTTGGCAAATAAAAAATAATGCCCTTAGCCCTGACTACTACGATCTTTTATTTTCTAATCAAATTCTTGATAATCTTAAATTATTAAAGAAGGAAAATAGTTATGAAACAGCAGTATGATTCATGAACACAGGGAAGGGAAAAAACAAAACTCAGGCGTTTTCAAGAATATTCTTGGAATGGGTGGCCAATTAAAAAGGGCAGCCACCGGAGGGTTTGAATCATCATTAATGATAATTGCATGTAATGTTGTGGACTTCACTGTCACGACAAAAGAATTTGGTGAAGGAACACGAAGGTCATAGTCCTAAACATGGAAATACAGAAACTGTAAACTGATGCCGTGGAGGCAGCGTTTCTTAATGGGCTAGCAGCCAGTGGGTGCGGTGGAAACCGGCGGTATGCATCAGCCAAGACTCCACCCAGTTTAACTTGAGAAGGGGTATTTAAGTGAAGCCCATCCGGTTCAAACGACAAGCCCAATGCGTATGCGTCCACAGTCATCACGTTCATTACCTCAATTCCGAATTGCCCCCTTCTCACTCCTTCCTTATACGGCCCCTCTCCTGATGCAATCCCCACCTACGACCACAAACGTTGACGTTTTAACAAACTCTCTCTACTATTGTTAGTTGGCCTTGTTATCTTGTCCTACTTTTGCTACTGACTCATTAACTTATTTGTCACTTATCAAGGCTTTTCCTTTTTTAAATCTGTAGAAGTTATTATAATAGGAAGCAGAAACAGAGGGTAAGAAAAACCTGAATAATTGGGAGGAATGGGATGTTTAGATCGGAGCGAATGTCGGTGAAAAACTTCTTCAACCTCCCTCCATACAACTCGGAATCTTCTGCATTCACTGTATCACTTTCGCCCTGATACCACAGGAGCGCTTTAATTGTGCCTCCACCGAGTATCGACGCTTCG